TGCTTACACGCGTGCTCCGTCACATGACTGTTGCCTGTTGGTGAAGTTTAAGAGTTGAGTTGAGTTTGGTGTTTTCCTCGATGCCGTTGCCAGCAGCAATCCCACATCCCAAGCCGCGACTATCTCGCCACAGACAACCGCAAGCACGCCAAACAGACAATTTGCCACATGCTACCAGATCACCACTAATCGCCAAAAACAAAAACGATAACAAAGCTGTCGACATGTCTCGCGTCGTGGAAGGCAACAACAGCAGCAGCAGGAGGAGGAGCAGCAGGAGGAGCAGCAGGAGGAGCAGCAGGAGGAGCAGCAGGAGGAGCAGCAGGAGCAGCAGCAGGAGCAGCAGCGGAGCGGCGGCAGCGGCGGCAGCGGCGGCAGCGGCGGCAGCGGCGGCAGCGGCGGCAGCGGCGGCAGCGGGCAGCGGCAGCAGCCGCGGCAGCAGCAGCAGCAGCAGCAGCAGCAGCAGCAGCTACAAATGCAGCCCAAAACAGCTGGTTAAGACATCGATTTGATGATAATCGGTTCCTTGTGGAAATGCAGGAGGTCGCAAAATGCAAAAGAATGTCTATAGGCGTGCTTGTCATCGCAGATATAACACTGGCAAATCTCATGTCGTCGCTGGCATGCAAAACAAACATCCTCATTGAAACAGATTATGACCCAACCTGGCAGTCTTGATAAGCAGACGCCTGCTGCCAAGCCTGCTATGTGAGATGCCAACCCATGCGCAACTCAGCAAGACTCAGCAGCTCTCGCACCCTGCTTCGAGGCAGCAGGCCAATGCGATGCCATGTAGGGCGCCAAATTACCACCTCGAGCACTTGCTCGATCTTGAGCACAAGAACAGATGACAAAATCACCCACACCCGAGGGCATCTCAAGATGGAGTATCAAGCCTCCCATCCCCCATCCTAGCCGGTACCCATCTCAGGTGGGACCCATCTCAGGTAGGACGCATCTCAGATGGGACGCATCTCAGGCGGTACCCATTTGAGAGGGTTTTACCCATTTACTGTGGCCTATTTCAGGTGCGACCCATCTCAGGCGACACCCATCTCAGAAAAACTCATCTCAGATGTGACCCCTCTCAGGTAGGACCTGACCCATCTCAGGCGGGGTCATCTCAGTAGGTTTGACATCTCAAGTGGGACCCATCAATGACTCGTCTCAGCTGTGACCCATCTCAGGTGGGACCCATCTCAGATTGACCCATCTCAGCGTCTCCCATCTCAGGTGGTGCAGGTGGTACTTTTATTTCAGCGGGGGCTCCCGCCTCACGAAAGCGTACCGGCATAAGATAAGGATATATAAGGAAAAACAGCCCCGCTGCAGTAGCAAGCAAGCCATCGCCAAACGCCCAGATTCGAGTTGAAACCCAGCAGACTGGCTTTTTCTTTGGTGAGGTCACGTCCTAGCATCCTTGCCCATGCGCCAAAGACAGGGCATGAACACCATCGCACCCAACAAGCAAAGCCACTGCTCTCAACGCTATCCCTGGCGATCCTGCGCACAGACTTTCTTGCAGACGTGCTGCTGCGGAATATGCCCACGGAGCAACACAGCACGCAACAGCAATCGCTCAGATTTTCAATTTCTCTGTTCTGGTCGGTTGAAGTGTCGCTACAGTGTCGTGGTGATGTTTTGGCGATGGATTAAAATACAACCCATGTCACATACAAGCAAGGCGTGCCAGGTCGGCCGCCGAGTCAAGAAAGTATTGCGAGCATGTACATATATATATATACATATATATATATATATCTAACCCTTCAAGTTGGTTTCGGGCTCGTGTCCTGCTGAGGACATATGAAGGAATGATCGTTAGAACGAGTGGTGGAGGTCAAAGATTTTAGCAGAGAGAGCCAGCATTGCTTTCCTCATGTGAATCGAATTAGGAGCTTGCGATGGCCTGTGACTTTCACACTGGTCACAATTTTGCTGTTGCAGGGAAAGCGTATTCGGGAACGCCGGCGACTTAATTCTCGAATGTGTTGTGTCTAAAGCTATGAACCACAACTCCTTCTTACCAGTCTTGCGCTGCTAGGCCAACCTGTAGGATCCCCATGTGACAAGGCACTGGCAGCTTGTTTGGGGCAGATGGTGCTGTGCTGCTGTCCGTGCCTTACCGTCTCTGGACGGATGGTCGGATACTGTAGTTGCTCAAGATCAGGAGGTTCTCCTTTGACATGCCGGTTGCGCTCCTCCTGCAAGGCTGAACCTGGCATTTGCCAAAGCTGACCGCGGGGACAGCAAAGGAGCCTTGGAGGTTGGGCTGAGTCTAAGTTTTAGCAAGAGCACATGTAAAACAAGTGCTAAGACGTTGGCCATGGGGCTTCCAGCCTCGTAGGCTTTCGATGAAGCCATCACGCTGCTGGGCGCTGGCTCCGTCAACCACCCACAACCATGCAGTTGCAATTTGGGAATTGTGACGTTTCCCCTTGCTACTGAAAAAAGTTATTGCAAACACTTGCTCGCGCCGCTCTTCAGCCGGCCAGGGGATTTGAGGGGGGGCCCAGGAGGTCCCCAAAGGCTACACAAAGGGTCTGAGGGTCGTCTGCATTTCTATGGAAGGTTGGTTCAGAAAAATATGAAAATTCGGGGGGGTCAGTAGGGGGTGCATAGAAGACGGGGGTTAGGGCATCCCCAGGACGGTGGCCACAGCTGTGAACCTCCTATATACTCAAACCACCAATATGGACCTCCATCATGGGCTGTGGACCATCATGACTCTACAGGCTCCATCGGCCCTCGAGACTAGACCGGAGAGGTTTGGAAACCTCTTATGGCGGGCTAGGTCTGGACCGACAGACCCCTCCACTTTTATGGGCCATAGAGGTCGTCCATGGGGGAGGTCCACATAGGCAGTCCGGAGTATGGGTGGTTTCAGGGAATGGGGAAAGGAGGAACGTCTTGGGCCTGGAGCCCCGGCGGATGTAATGTCAGGTTCACTACATCTGCTTTCCTTGGCTATTTTCAGAAAAGCTTCATCTCCGAAGCCTGTTTGAGGCCTGCTCCTACGAATGTCACGGGGATGAGGAGGTACGTCCTTTGGCACCTTTCGAAGAGGGCCTTACATGCCAAAAATGGTCACTCGCTCACTCCGCGGAGGCTTTTCCAGAGCCACTGGAGAATACTCCATGTGGTGTCGGTATCTCAGATACCGAGAGAATCCGACTCAAACAGATATTCAGCTTGGGTCACAACCAGGCCAGCCTGCTGTCTGCCATCGGGGTTGCGCGCGGCAACTGCGATGACCAGGCATGTGCAGGGGTGAGCACTGAGTGGCACTTTAGGTTCGAAACCCTGCATCAGGCGGGCGCACTGAGCCGATTGCTCAGATTCAGAAATGCCTGTCCTTCGCAGCTGCTTCGTCTATTCAGTTCCGTAGTTGGTTGCAATATGTTGCGCATGTTCAAGTCAGCTCACTTCGCCGCAGGTGCATACAACCACGCCTTGGTGATCCGTCGAAAAACCAAGACACTAGCCACACCCGCAGCACACTCAGAGGTTTGTTTTGATTGTCCCCGGTTCTTGACTCCCACCTAATGGCAACGACCAGCGTATTCCATGGCACAACCGCTGTCCCACTAGCGGTCACCAGCGCACAACCAGCACACAATAGCACACAAGGCCGAACCTCGATTCTCGCAGCTGTTTGGCAAGCTCCGTTTCCACATTGCCGACATAGACGCAGCTCCCACTGTATAGCGGAACACGTCGCTTTCACCATCATGGCACGGACAGGCCGCAAGTTCAGCAGTCAGCGTGCCAGCGCTGAGCTGGATAGATGCCCGCTTCACGCTACCGCGGTCGATTCACGCTCCCCCTTTTCACTCCCGGTTTGAGATGCAACAAAGTTCATAGGATGTGCAGATGTGCACGGGTAGCATGAATCCGCGTGTTGGGTAGCAGGAACGCGCGTTTTCTGGTGAAATGAGTCGGTGTCTTCGATTAGAATGAATCCACAAGTTTTGTTAGAACGAATCCGCACGCATCCGCACGCTGCCGGTGCTGCCTTCACTACTCACTGGCATCTGTTGTCGAACCTCCCTGCAACATTCAAGCTGAAGGCATCTAAGCATCCGCGCAGACAAGTCACACACGTCATTTCTGTAGCATGTGGCGCCGATTGTCGCCGTTTCTCTTGTCTAAGAGCATCGAGGTGAACGTAGGGTGAACCTTGTTTGCTGTAACCGCTGCACTGTGGAGATTGCTGCTGCCGGGATGGAGCATAGTAGTATAGCATGACAAGCACCGCGGGTGTTAGCACAAGCCGTTTGCCTTCACATGTGCCGAGGCTGGCGCCGTCCTTCGCCGAAATCAGGGTGTAGCTCTCTTGGCACTTGGTGTCGGGGGCTTACGTGTGAACGCGTGATGCTCTGAGCGATTCTTTCCCGTAGCATTTGCCGGTGCTACGTAGATGGCCAGGATGCCAAATCCTCGGTCGAGGCGTTGTTGGACTCGAAGGCTGGCAGCGCATGCATCGCCACGACACGGTTAGGTAAGCCGTCTCCAATTGCAAGTATACAGTGATATACAGTGATTGTGTCACAAGACACTAGCCATGCCCAGGCGATTCGTGAGCAGCAGGGGCCCAAGACTTCTTCGTGCAGGGAAGCTGCACTAGAGTGAGTTGTACTGTACGCTGTACTGCAGGCATGTGTAGGGCCCAACCTTGAGAGCTCAGGACAGGTAGCCTTGTGAGCCCTGCCGGAGCTAACCTCCTTGGAAGCCTGGCGTGGTCACGGGCGCAGTACGGTTGGGAAGCTCAGATACACGGCGGGCAGCTTGCTTGCCGGCTCGAGAAGCCAATGCGTTAGTTGAATGACTTCTTGGTCGTCGTTTAGAGCTAGTTGATAGTCTATGTTAATAGTAGGGTTCTGTTCTCTAGAATCTGGGTTTTGCAGATGCAACAGAAGGAAGCAGGGATGCTCGACAATACTGCTTGCTACCAGATGCCACGCAGGGTATCGACAAGCTGAGGTGACCTCTTCACTGCTATGGGGGACTGCCTAGAAGCGCGTCATCTACATGAGCAAGTCGGGACCTTGGAAGTCGAGCCGGGCATGCTTCAAGCCTGGTTGTCCCTCACACGGCATCACGCTATGAATGGAGGCAGGCACTTTGCGCACCCCCGGAGGGCGAGCGGTACGGGGGCCAAGCAGGGCAAGCACAGACCTTCGCAACAGCTGCTGTCGGCACTGTCGGCTCGAGCTCTGATTGCACACTTGTCTATTCTTGTACGCCATCCTCCTGAGGTCCTCGAGAAGATGAAGAGCCGGGGACCCAGCTGGGCCTATCGGGGCTTCACCCCAGTTGCCGCAGACGACCCAGGCCTCGAGCGCTTGGCTGCTGCCAATATAGGCCTGGACGAAAAGAGACGTAGACTTGCATGGAACATCATGGAAGGCAAGAGTGGCAGGAGCGTGTCGGATTTGCTGACATGGAGTTGCGGTTTTTCAGAAGATGCGCGCACCCTGATGTCTTGTCGCCCCCATCCTTCATGAAGAACATCTACAGTGCTTGTTGCGGTCTGCACATAGTTGCAGATGGGAGATGATTGAACCATTGAGCCAGGTTCACTCTCCGAAGCAATGTGCACTTGCGTAGCGAGTTGCATGCTCTGCAAACCCGCGTCCTTTAGAGGTAAAGGGGGCCTTCGTCAAGCTGAGCAAGATGGGCGGTAAGTCTGAGCAGCCTGTGCATACATGCCTTGCTGACTTGCTGCTTCATGGTGCAATTTGCATGGTCAAGACAGCAAATCCTGCATTGTTTTTCTCTCTCAAAGGGGTCCAAAGAGGCCAGTGCATGATCAGAATCGTGGAGGTTGGGCTAAGGCTTGCCCTCCCAGCCTGTTTTGCGATCGTGAAATGACTCAGCACCGCCTCGATGCTGCACGATTTAGTTTTTCGAGTCACACACTGTTTCCAGTTGTGCTCTAAAGCCTGTGGTATCGCGCAGCATGGTGAAAAGGATGAGTGTTTCTTTCTCACAAAACCTAGCAGCGGTTGGTAACATGCTGACTGCTGCTGGGCTTGTACAGTGGACTCGAGAGCGAACATTCTCCTCTTTGCGCAAGGTGACGGGGAACGAACCCAGTATCAGGCTTGTGTCTCGCCAGGTAGTGCTGGGCAAGCCCTCCCCCATTCCTCAAAGGGCACATTCGTTATGATGCCCAAAGTTTTGGGCCGCATCGCAGCCTCGCGCCCCCCCCCCCCCCCCTCCGCACACGCAGGCACGTATGCACTATGGCCATCCTGACATCATGAACAAGGTGGAGCGGTCTGTTGATGTTGATGAGTGAGTAGCGCTTTTGCTGCGGAATGTGGTCGCCTGCTTTCAGGAGTACATGATGCAGCAGGGAGGTGTTTCCAAGGCAACAAAGACGCTGAACCTGTCTGAGGACGGATTGACGGATTACTGCCAATGTTTGCTGTTGGCCGTTCTTGTTTGCAGTGCGGCCACAGAAACAGTCCATGAAATCAAATGTGCTTTTAGGTTTTTACACGCCGACTGCATCTGAACAATGCCTTGCAAGTTATCACTGAACAACACGCCGTGTTGGTGAGATGCAAGGACATCTTCGCCGGGATGGATTTCGTGCTGCGAGGCGGAGGTCCGTCGACCTCAGCGAGTCAGCGCATGCATCCAGCGGATCTTGATACAATGTTCCATGCTGGCACAGCAAGCAAGATGAGGCATGACGCCATGTGTAGCTGAACTTGCATGCTCGGAAGCTGGCGAATGGCTGTCCGAGCTAGATTCGGCAATACAGCCAGCTGAAAAAATGCTCATTGCGTTCATGCCGAGGCCGTACCATCAAGCATCGCGAATATTTCCATTTAGCCAAAGGCAGGAGAAATGCGGAGAGTTCAAACCGAGTCCGTACCTTCCAGCCGAGCTCGTCTTTGTCAGGTCGAGATCTTGGCTTCAACACAGCGCGGAGCCTGTTCCACAGGGTGAAAAGCAGAGGCAGAGGTTTTTCCAGAAAGAATGTTGTGACGGCATGTCGCGGCCGGCTCCCTCAGGGCGCTTTCGCAGAAAGGAACTCAGGGAAAGAACCGAACAGCCATGTCTTGTAAAAGCTTTGGTCATGGAGTGGACTGGACTGGAATCCACTGCATGCTGGCAGTGTAAACAGAATGGCAAGCTGTATACTGCCCCAAGGTGCTGGCCTTTTTCTCCAAGCTTTCATCTGGAGCTGGCGAGCAGCTGCGTGGCCCCCGTACTGGAAGCAACCAAGTTTGGATGGCAAAAGGGTGCCCGGCATCTGCGAAAGGTTGACACTCCTAACTCCTAAGGATCACAAGACAGACGTTGCGCCTGGGGAGTCTCCTGCCGTTGCCGGAGTTCCTGTCGCCGCTTGGCCTGTCGCTACTGGTAGCAGCTTGCGAACAGCGTCGCTCGCAGCTTCGATCGCAGCTTGTAGCTTCACACCTTGAACGCATCGCACAGCACGACAGCAGGTTTTACTACGCGCACATGGGCCACTACCTGTCTCAGTGGGCGGCCGAAAGCTCAGCTCCAAAACACAGCCCCCCCTTGCATAGCCGTAGCCGACCTGAAGTGCTCAGCAGCTTAACTCTGCAAAGCTGTCTTTCTGTTAGATTCAGGTCTCTTGGGGTCTGCCTGTGCTTACCTTGGTTTGGCTGCTGATCCTCCTGAATGGCTGCGAGGACTCCTGCACCCCTACACATCCCTACACACGCCTACACTTCCCTACATCCGAAGAATTCTCAGCCACCTCGGACCCTTGGACCTCTCAAGGACTCCCATGACCTCTCCATCAAGCTGGGAGCCCTGGAGCCTGGAGCAATGAAAAGTGACAGGGCCAGCACCAGGTCACGGACCGATACACAGAGGTTACTTATGAATTTATGCCTGTAGTGCTGAATCCAGGTGCAGTGCAGCTGGACAATCTGCAGCGCCGGCTAGCCCAGCATGATGCACTGGCCAGTGCCATACCCACTTGTCTAACACCTGCCAGTGCTGTCGCTGGCGTCTACACACACACACATATATATATATGTAATATGTATATGTATATGTATATGTATATGTATATGTATATGGAGATGTACGCCTAGAGGTTTGCCCGCGCCCCCTGGGCTTCAGGGTCCATATCGTGGTTTGGACTGCGAAGGCACGGTGTTTCGGAATGTTGCGTGTCATGCCTCCCTTTCATAAAGCCCTGACCACCATGCACCATAGTCACTACCCCTGGTGGTGGTGGTGTTTCACTAGATAATGTTTTCAACATGGGGTACGGCCACAACAGCTCAGAAACTCTTTTTCATGATCCACACCCAGGAAATGCCACATGAAGGGTCATCTTCATGTCATGATGCGAACTGGCTTCGAAACCCATATGAAGTTTGTCGAAACGCGTCATTGTAACAGTAGGCACCATGTTTTCAAATGTCCCTCCCCAACTTGCCTTCCCCCCGCTTATTCTGAAGTGTTTTTCAAATGGGGGGGGGGGGGGGGGGGGGGGTGAGGGGGTTGTGCCCCCCAAACCACCCCACCTTGTCCTGACTGAGCCTCCCACCACCCCGAAACATTGAAAAAGGCCGCAACCTTGAAGTTGAAAGCTTGAGACGAACCTCTTCCGAAGATCCTGCGGGCAAACCAATGCTTCTCCGCCTATACGTTTGCTTATTTTCCAATATGTGCCTGTGCATACGTTCGATGCTGGCCCAGGTCAATCATGGCGGAAGCATGGCAGTGCCCTGTTTCCGTGGTTTTTTTCAGGGAGCATGTCGTCGTATGGTGTCGTCCTGTTGCGCGGCTTGGTGGGTGGGGAACGCCAACGCGTGAGCTTGCAAGCGTATGTACAGCAATGCAAATGAAAGCTAGTACATGCCCCGTTCATCTGTGGTTTTGTTGGTTGACAAGAAAGAAGCCAGCAGGTATATTTACTCGGGCAACTTGCTTATCGTCTTCCTCCTTGCGCAGATGGCCCCGATTTTCTTCGAGGTGTGGATGCAGGCACGGGCCTGGGAAGGCTGCCAACGAAGTGGGCCCCACTGTGGCTTTCACTGCATCGGTGGATGGCCATGACATGCGTCTGTGGCAGACGGTGTTTGCAGGCTGGTCTGGTGACCTCCGTTATACGCCTCATAAAGCAGCTCCTGACGTGCCTCGGCCATACGGTTTGAACTGGAATTTGCAGGTGAACATATATGTGAGCGTTTGACGCATGTTCTGCAGGCTATCCCCGGTCATGTTCATCTTCCAGGCGAAGGCCCAAACAAGTTGTGCGGTCGCCTGGAGTTGCTTCTGCTCCCCATGGGAGCACATCTCAGCACCTGGTGAGGTTATCGGGTTCTACACCATGAACGAGCTCAAGTACGGTGGTGCAACATATGTTCAGAGCCCAACAAGCTTCGGCACTGGGCGCAGGATCGATTGCAGTCTGACGAGAGACGGATTTCCCGGACTGTCCTGTAAAACGATTCTAAACATGTTGTGCTTGTACTGTGGCCTTCCAATGCAGCTTAGAGCTTGTGGCCACTTGGGTGGTGCCGCCCTTTGCAGCCATTGCTATGGCCGACGCTGCAGTGCAAGCCCAACGCTGGAGGCATCGTGAGCAACAGTACGAAGAATGCAGGGGTGGTCCACCCAGGCGTGTTTGCTTGATCCTGGAAGGCGGCCAGCACTCCGCGCGGCGCTATGTGCTGCTGCATTGGGTGCTGGCGGTGTGGGGCTGCTTGGCGGAGCTTTGCCATGTGACACGCAAAGAAGCGAATAGTACAGCCCTTGTACACCTATCGAACCGACAGATACGATAGGTTCGTGGCAGCACCCGGTGGGCGTGGGATCCCCTCGGACTTGGCTCACTCACACCAGGCCGGCAGCGACAATTCTCCTCAATGACCATTGAGGTAAAGGATGCATTCCTGTGAGGTCAGGGCCGCCACAACTAGTACCGAAGACTCATCAAGCCTCTTCTCCACCCAATCGGCCGTGCCTCGGAGTAAAGCCACGGCATGACATGGACACGGCATGACATGGACATTGCCTGGACAGTCTTTACAATCTTTGGTGGGCTATCTTCTAGATGACCAGGTGCTGAATGCGATGAATGCATCGTCTTTTTCATAGTAAACTGGCATCATCGTGCATCCATTCCTGGCTTGGCAGCCAGCCGGAAACTGAGGCGCTGCCTTTTGCGCTATTGTCCGTGCTGGCCGCGAGGGCTCAGGCTCGAGGCTCATCAGCACATGGATATCAAAATATATAAGAATAGCTTCAGGACCAAGAAGAGTATTGTCATTTCAGGTGCCAAAGATGAACAAAGGCAGATCGAAAGTCCCAAACGCATCGGTCAAGCCGAGCTTTGTCCACCACCCGTATGGAACTCGAACGACTTCAAGGGCAAATCCTGAATGTGCGAGTCCCCACCCCCGGCGGCAGGATTCTCAACTTGTCGTCCTAATCTGCGGTCGTACTTCGAATAGATAAGAGAGAAAGAGAGAGAGAGAGAGAGAGAGAGAGAGAGAGAGACACAGCAAGCTGTGGTCCATAGTTACCCCAAGAATGGCCCGGGAACAGGAGCGTGTACAGTCATAACACTCCTTCAAGGGGAAAGCATCAATAGCTTTACAAGTGCCACCTCGCCACCTCATCTACCCTAGTTCCCCCAAGTAGACCTTAGCCTGCACTGCTAACTTGAGGGGAGGAACGGCACTGAGCTGACTCCACAACTCTGAACGTCGCCGAGAACCTAAACAGGGAGGGGGAGTCGTGCCAGTACCTATAGGGCTAGGGACCTGAACGGGGAGGGATCTCTTTCCGGAAGTATGGCATGCTGTGGACCACCTTTACCCTTAAGAATGCACCGGCGACCCCACACTCAAGTCAGCTGTAACATACCTGAGGAACACTCGGGAAGCCAACCCTCGGGGAGAGTTCCTACAAGAGCCAAGTTGAGTGGGAGAGGAAAGGGGGGTATCGGGGAGCTTAGGATCAGGGTACTGGTTTGTGTTGTTTGGTCCTCCCACCATCTTGCCTGCAATGATCATACAGGTATAGTGGAGGGCAGTCTAATAGGATGTAACTCCAACCTGTACTGATGGTGTCACCAATCCCGACTGGATCGCTGGAGCACGTCCCTTGGGACGACCCCCTTGGGGGTTATGTGCTGTGGAAGGAAGGAAGGAAGAGAGACACATAGAGACACATAGAGACACATAGAGACACATAGAGACACATAGAGACACATAGAGACACACAGAGACACACAGAGACACACAAAGAGACGCAGAGAGACAGAGAGAGACAGAAAGAGGCAGCCCCCAACACGTTTTTCACCTGGATCTCGCACTCGGGCGCGCCTTGGTGCGCGGGGGGGCCCCCGGGTCTCCTCATGCCCAGCAGAAGAAGAAGATAGGGAGAGACTGAGAGAGACTGAGAGAGAGACAGAGAGCCAACGAGCTGCAGACGTGAGCATAGTACAGAGGAATGCGAGACCGGGGCGCTTGCAGCGCGGAGGACCCCCTCCATGCCCCAAAGAAAGAAAGAAAGAGACAGAGAGAGCAGAGAGAAAGAGACGAGACAGAGAGAGAGAGACTGAGAGCGCGAGGGCTAGGGTCACCTTTTCCTAGTCGCTCAAGCCCAGCAGAAGCAGAAGGAGAAGAAGAAGAAACGTGGTACGCATGGCACATCAGATCTGGGAGCATCATATTCAAGGGTTGGCAGGCATGCCTGAGCCAAGGACAGTTTAGAAGCACAAGGAGAGCCGAGGAGAAGAAAGGACATTTGCTATCTTTGCAACACGTCAGGCAAGCATCACTTTGCTGATGCCACGGGAACCATGGGACCCTTGATGCTGCGCAGACAGCAAAGCACCAAAATCCCTGGAGGATCACTTCAGCAGCTCTTGGGAATGAAGGGTGCCAGCGAAACAGAAGATGAGCCTCTGTGGAAGACGCTCTCTATGAATTCATGGGGTGCCAGTGCTATCCAGTTCGAAATGCAACAGTCTTGACACATGGGAAATACCAGGATTCGGCTTCAGCTTTGCAAGCCAGTTACCTGGCCTCCACTCATCTTTGGAGTCATCGCAGGCAGCGCTGCCGGAAGCGTGCTGTAGTCGTTGTTTCTCGCTCCACTCGCTAACAGGCTAACATACCTGGACAGAACTTTCGACACAAGTTGCAGTCGAAACCGAGAAGCATTGCAGATAGACATAGGGATGCTTACCTTGCAAGTTTTGACCAGTGCAGGTGTATGCGCCAGTGGCAACTTTGACTGGTCCACAGCAAGCCCAGAGGAATATGCCAAGATCATTGGCAGCAATGGGTAGCGTTGCGAGCTTTCGCACTGCGGTGGAGGCAGTAGCTGTTTTTGCGGTGTGAGCATCGGCAGCACATCGGGGCTTTGTCCGACATCCAAACCAAACGATCTGGCCCGTTCCCAACACGGGTCCGAGACAAAGACTCTTTCCAATATGCATCCACATCTCTCCCTGCTATGCAGAATGTGAGTTGCGGGTTTGCAAGCACACGACTGCAGATTAGTTTGCCAAGATGTGGATTGCAGTGTAGTCGTAAAGCAGCATTCCTGGCAGTCTCGTGCCAGGGCTGTGAAGCTGCTCAGGTTCCTCTTGTGCGTCACTCTCTCTGGCCCAGTCCTGGTTGGCTACACGCAGCTTTGTCGAACATCAGTCAATGGGTCCTGGTACTAGGCTCTCTAAGCTCTCAAAGCGCCCAAAGCAGCAGTAATGGAAGTTCAGACTGCAGCGAGGCATTGCCCAAGATATGTCCTTAGAGACATGGGGGCAAGCACACGTCATTTTGTGTAATTTGCAGAAAGCTGTCGGATCCGTTGGGACCAAGGCAGACGCTGAATGACTGGTATGACAAGGATTTAGATGCCATTAACGAGCCCTACCGGCCCATCCCGTCCGGCCGCATCACAGAAGCCGGACCCTCAAAACCGCTACTCAATGGTTTTGAGATTCTCCCACACATATGTTGGGCACTCAGGAAGAAGTCTGGCAGCAGATCTATGTCTTGGGTGGGCTGGGCTTGGGAATGGCGATCACGCTGGACCGAACTTTTTTTTTTCACGCAGCAGCTGGTGCGCTAACTGTAATTATATGTTATACGAGCATTGCATTTCGGAACACGGCGCTCGCTAAGCACGCGTTTTTGCATCATTTTTGCATCTTTCGCCGCGATGGACAACGCAGGACATCTGGCAAGGGCATTGGCCTCCAACTGTATTTGCCGTGGCGGTTGTGGGCATCTTTGCTGGGAAGACGGAGCCAATATTAATGTCCTTTACTTCGCCTCCCAAATCATGTTCTGAACCTTGAACGGAGATGCACGACGTAGATGCAAGAGATTGAACTTCACTTTTCTGGGGGGGCCGTCTTTACAACTGCTCCTTTCCCAGGTGTCTTCATGGCCTATATTTACTCGGCCCCACCGCTGCTCGGCTCCATGCCATGCTCAGCATCTCAGCATCTCAGCATCTGCCTGAAACATGTCTCTGTCTTTCCCAGGCTGAAGCTCAAGCAAAACTGGATCTCCGGCTGCTATGCTCTGGGTTCCAGCTACATAGCTCTGCCCTGGCTGGCCGGACAGTGCACATTCGGTGAGGCAGATTACGCATCTATGTCTTGAGAAGTTTTGAGCTGTGGGTTGCACAACATAGTGCAGTTTCGATGCAAGCTGCAGTAAGCAACCGTGCATCGGGAGGTGACACCGGAGATCATTGGCCTGACGCTGTGGTACTCAATTGCTGCTGTGGGGATCGCGATCGTCAACGACTTCAAGAGTGTGGAAGGTGCACTTGCCCAGTAGGGCCGCCTAGCCCCGTAGGCCGTAGGCCTTAGATGACCTTAGCAGGCAAGGGAGGAAGGCGACATATCTCACCACATGGATGCAAGCCCAACACCGGGGGCCGCACGCTGCAATGTCTAGACGTTTGGTTCTTTTGTGTGTGAGAGTTGTTAGAGGAGACACCAAACTGGGGCTTTCCTCCGCTCCGGTCGTCTTTGGAGTGGACACTGCAAAGCACCCAGGCGCTGAACCAAAGTCAGCTCAGAGCCTGGCAACGACAACACCGGACATGAGTGATCTGCCGCTGTCATGCCATGTCATGCCCTTCTCTGCAGCTCCAAGGTACATGGCACCGATCATCAAAGACTCGGTCCAGCTCACAATAGTCGGGTATTTGTTCTATATTGGAGACTCGGGCAATTGTTATGGCATGTTCTGCCATGGATGCATGACACTCCTCACACATGTTTCGCATCTGTTACAAAAACATCTGTTACAGAAAGTTTCCTTTCACCATTGGTCAGGTGAGACAAACTATGCGCTGGGGCTCCTTGCGTTGATCGTGCCACAGGTCTACTTCGCGATCACATTGTTTCTTGAGGATCCAATCAAGAACGATGTGACCCCTGGCTTACTGGGAAGCTCAAGGTTCGCAAGGGCTTGTCGTGCACCGATGCATTGCGAACACAGTTTGATCCAGACCAAAATGCTACACTACACCCTTGCGCCAAGGAAGTACCAGGGTTCATCATTGCCTTTCTTCAGTATTGGCACAATCGTGGCAGCCTCCGCGATCGGCAACAACCCTTTGCATTGAGAGCATGTTAGCAGTGTGAGCAGCTTGCGTCACCGGGAAGATGCAGTATATCCTTGAGCCCTACGATCGTCGCAGAAGCTTCCAGAGGTGCTCGGAAGTGTGGCGGAGGGAAGTCCATGTCACTCATGGCTCTCGTGCCAACACGCGTGTGTAGCAAAGTTGGGTGCAAGCGCTGCATCCGATTTTCACCGTTGATCGCGAAAAACGATTGACAATATCAGCGGCGTGAATCTAAAAAAGGCGCTGTAGCAGGCCGTTCTGGGCCATGCGCGCAGTGCAGTGGGATTCATGAGGCTGTGCCTGCCAGTACGATACAACTTGTATGTCTTGTATGTTAGTTTATGTTAGTTTGTCCGCAATAGCTCATCAGACCACGCGACAAAACAGCAAGCTGACAGTTGGTGCAAGCCAATCGTTGCTGTTTGGAGTTTGGAGCCGCTGCTAGGAGGCTGTTCCGCAAGTGTCGCGTAAGGTTGCCACGGGGCGAGGGCTTCCCACAGAGCGGAGACCCTTTGTGGGCGTGGTCACTGATACGGGTCCGGAGACCTAGCTGAGAGGAACCCGGAACACCAAGGGCAAACTCGCCCGGTTCGCCACGTGTCGAAAGCTAGTTGATGATCGGTCATGCTTTCTGGTTTCTTCTTGTGTGACTGCTCGTCTCCAAACTGAACAAGCGGCCCGTTTCGGGCACTTCTAAGAAATTCTAAGGCCACCTCCAGCCAGGAGGGCTGTACCTGGACTATGCTCGCATCACGTAGCTGGGCTCACAAATTATAGGCTGCATTCGAGACCACGTGCTCCTTCACAAAAATCTATTGGTGAACATAGCGGGGACTGGGGTGAAGACAGCACAACCGAGGTACTACGACGGGGCCGCTTTGCTGATTCTCATGGTGCTGGTCGTGGTTGCTGGTGGTGCCTAAGTTGCAAGGAGTTGCAATTTGCAAGCCTCGGCCTCCAGCCTCCCAACAGCCCAAATCGTGAAAGGAATGGACAACACGGGCCCACAACTCTACGGCATCATGGTATCGCTGTGTTTGGCGGGCAGCTCAGGGTGAACCGGGCTGTTCATGGGAGTTCTTTCTGGGCTTCAAGCATGTCGTCATGTGCCTGTACGCATGTTCATCAGGTCACCGTGTCTTGGCTCCTGGCACCGTTCATCTTCAACCCGTACCAATTTCGACCATCGTGCTGGGCGAACGACATGAAGGCTTGGCCTTTGCTTTGTCCTGGGATAGTCTGCTGTAAGCTCCCTTAAGCCAGGCTTGGCTTCAGTTCTTTCTCGAAGACGGTGGCTCTCACTGGAAGAAGTGGCCGGCTAAGGCTGCCAGGTGAAGTCGCTTCAAGGTGTCAGGCTTCAGTGAAGGTGGCACTTCTGCCTTTGAAGCGCTTTCTTTCGTGCCTTTCTACGGCTGACCGAGAAAGCGCCGAGACTGAGCAGACTGAGGTGGTTCACGCAGACTCAGCTGAAGCCACGACGGGGCTTCCGAGCAACTGTTCTCGCTCCCCCGCTGCATCCAAGCCGAAGAACCAAAGTTCAGACTCTTTGATCAGACTCGCAGTTGGTTCCTCAAGCAAGGACCTGGCATTCTTCATCGAGCTTTGGTGGGCGCGTACCTCACACGTAGCTGTTGCAAAACTGGTGACTTGTACAAGCAGGTCACACTTGTATCAATGATGCCATCATCCGATTCACGAAAGGGGCGGCTTCAGTTCCTGCGTAACTTGAGTCGTTCACACCTTCCTGTGCCGAGGTCGTGGCATGTTTCTCGTCCCTGAATGCGCGAACGGCTGTGGTTTGCCAGGCGATGCATATAATCAGTTGCAATCAGCGCGGTCCCAGTCTCTAGCTGATCGGTCTTTTTGCGGGGTAGCTTACGACATAGTTGCCACTTGCTCCGCACCAGCTGTGCGGCAGAGGTCTCCACTACGTGGCGGCTGTACTACTGGTTCTTGCTGCTTCCCCCGGCATGGAGCCCATTCTCCACATAAGCCCCTGCAGTTTCAAGGCCATGCTTGGTAAGCAATTCGTGTTATCTAGGATTTTAATGCCTGCTGCGATGTAGCAATGGTTAAGATTCGAAGGATTTCGCAGGCGTGAGATAGCTTTAACTTATGCGCTGTCAAGGAGCGAAGGCGATTCGGCGCTTGCGTTCCCACCGCAGCCATTGTCGCTTACAAGCCCGGGGACAGCCAGCACACGCAATATACACCACAGGTGCAACGCTCAACATCCGAGCTTTGTCCCAGGACTGCAAGTGCTGTTAAGTAATCGAGAGCTCTTGCGTGCTCTCAGGCGCTCCAGAATGTCCTCGATGCCATATTTGGCTGCTTTGTTGATCTTGGAGAAATGCACGTGCTTGTCTGGCCTCGATGAAGATGCTGCACTATGTTGCACTTTCAAGCCCCATGAGGATCCGCGCGAAGTCCTGCAAGCCGAGCAAAGCCGACTGTCGCAGGCCATCGCCGTGATCCAGGAAGCTGCCTCGTACTGTGTTGTAGGCGTTGCATGTACTCCTGTGCTGTGGAAGCCTTTCAAGTCTGAATGCCTCGAACAAGGAGTCGACAGATCGAATGCGGCGACTTCAAACTGAGACGTGTTCTGACTCTGTCGATCCTTGGTTTGTCAGGTTTGTTCCGGTGACCTGACCTGCTGTGGTCCACAGTCTTGGCGAGGGGTCTCGTGGCGAAGCGCAAACCAAGGATTGGAACGATGCCCACAATGTGGCACAGATTGTTCAGGGTACGGCCACTTAGTCGCAACGCCAAGTGCGCGATGTGCACGAGCTCATTGGATTCTGAAGATGGCGGAGCCGAATGGAAGCTGAAGCAGGTCACATGTCATCTGCGCCACGAGAGACCCGCGCTCTCCTAGGCATTCCTCGTCCTGGCCATGTGGCTCATCTTCGCCAACAACGCCAAGGCAAGGCTTTCATGTAGTGCTCGCGAGGTGCTCTGGGGCAATTGTGGGGTTTCCGGTGTCCAGCGTGTTTGCACTGCGTGCAATCATGCGAGCGCTTCCTGAAGCCCTGGACCACCTTGGAAGCTGAGGTGGCAGTCGCCCACAAGGCTCCCCTCGAGCAGCGGCACGCCGTCTGCGCAACGCTGAGCACCGCAGTGTGCCTCTTCTCCGGCTTCTTCAACATTCTACAGCTGCGCTTATGAAATGGAGTTTTACCTTGTCTGTTTTTTCTTGCAAAGATCAGTTGCTGCAAATTTCCCCCAATTTGTGTTCGGTTATGTGTGGTTCAGAGGCTTCAAGTGCTCTTCAAAAAGGCTTCAAAAGTGCTTCAACGCATGGCCATGCTAAGGCTCACTGGCATCGACGATTTCGAGATTCCTGGCTACACGGGAGGCTTTGTTCTTCAGCTGGCCCGGCCCGTTGAGTGGGTCCTGACGTGCCCTGCCATGGTTTCCTAAGTGGGAGGCTGCCACACACCTTGATCGTTTTACATTCGGCAGTCTCGGAAAACACTTGGTAGTCTTCACGGACTCGTGTGAGTTGTACACATGAGTAGTGCTGGCGACCGTGCCGAGCACACTTTGATCGGCACTTCCAACAGATTGAAGCACAAGTCTTGACAGGTAGACTTCGCCCCGAAGATGGTTGCGGTTTAAGACCCCGGAAGCGAATCTTTAGCGGGGTAACGGGAAGTGCTGCTCAGGTGCCCCATCCTGCAACTCAAGATGGTGCTCTGGCTGTAGTTTGTGCTCTTGTTTTTGATGGTCTTGCATGCGATTTGCTTCATGATCAACTCTTTTTGATCTTTGCTCAGGTTGTGCTGGCAGGAGCACGAGTGCCGTCATACCGACTCTTAGCTGACTTTTGTTTGGGCATGCTCCTGGTGTCCCTGTGATTTTGTTGGCTAGCTCCCTACTGATGGGCCTAAGGACGATTCATGATGCCAATGCTGTCTGCGGCTACCCTCTTGTGTGGAGTCGCTGCCACCTTTACAGATGGAGGAGGGTTGCACGCATGCCTTGATTTGCTGTGCGCAACAATGTGCGCAACAATGTGCAGCGGCCCAGCATTTGTCGATGCAAGCAGGGTAGGGGCTGGCAGGACTTCGTTACATTTGGTTCTCATTTGGCATGATCGTTGTCGCCGTCATGTTCTACTACAACGCCCTCCAAATCGCGGAGCTTCTTGGCTGCAAAGGGAGCTGGCACTGGCTCGCACATCTTTCAATTCAACTAGCCTGCCCCCATATCCAGGAACAGTGAGGGAGAGGAATCCCTCATTCACGGCCAGTCTGACTACCGCAACCCGCTTGCACATTGCATCCAGCATATCCACGGTCAGATATCTATAATGAAGGGTGTAAATGCGATCTGATGAAACGTATGAAACATGATGTGCTGGAATGCAGGCAAACTTTCGCTGGTTCTCATTGCCACTTGGTTTCCATTCCCTATCTGGTTCATGCTGAGCCCAGAAGGCCGGCTGAATACTTTGCTTCAGACACGTCAAATGCAGGGAACACTTCGCGGCTTACGGGGCTTTGTGTGCGATGCATCGAAGGATGAAAAGTTTCAATTTGTATTGAAGGGGACACAGTGTCTTGAGCGAAAATGCTTGAGCAAATGCGCCGTGCAGGCTTCAACATAGTCGACCAGGAGTTGACCATTGAGTTGGGATGGGTTGTGCTGAACATGCACCCCGGCATACATTTTGCAAAACAAGTTTGCAATGCGATGCTAGTCCTTGCATGCATGTGAAGTATACGCCACGTCACAGCATGCACGCAGCAGTCCAGTGCAGAGTCTGTCACGGACTGAGCTGAAGCAAGTCATTGCCGCTTGAGGCTGTTGCAGGCGGTGTTGTCTCACAAATTCGCGGGGGGGGGGCAGTGCGTGTCGGTGATTTGGCTGGCCGAGGCTTGCGAAGTTCTCACTTATCATCCTCGGCCAGCGCATGTGACTTCGCAGAAGTATGCTTGCAAAGCAACCTTCTGAGGAATGATCGGACTTCTGTTAGTACTAGATACTCGTTTTTTAAGTGCTGCTCAAGCTGTTTCAGGCACGGCATAGCCCGGATCGCGAGCATACGTAATGTAAACCGCTGTGCGTCGCCCGCCTCGGCCCGGCGTGCGGAGGCCTTTACCATCTTAGGTTTAGGGTCCATACATGTAGAGAAGATTTATTTTAAATTGGTGCCCGTAACCTCCACAACCCTGCCCCCCCCCTGCCTTGCAGGGGGGGGGGGGGAAGTAGTTTTTTAGCAGAAAGACACAGAGCCGGAAGCTCATCCCTGGCCATGGAGGTGGGGGTGCCTTGGTGGGAGGAGCACCTTTCAGGTCCTGGGAGCAGGGGAGGTGGATTTAGAGGAGGCCAGGGAACCTTTGCGAGGTGAACTATCGACGAAACTGCCCTTTTGCTTCCATCTGTGTTAGCAGCCGCTAGCAGTGGGCCCAAGCAGCGGCCGGAACTCTGAATTAAGCGACGTATCAAGGATCGTGTCGTTTGGTGTTGAAGGCATCCAAGATCATTTTTTCAACAGAAGCATGAGTCAACTAGAGCCAAAGGCATCTACGGTCATGTTTTGTCGCGGAGGTTTGTTAGAAGCTGGGTCTTGGAGGATCTCAGGCATAAGGTCATTTTCTCGTTTTTCGGATATATATATATATATATATATATTGAAGCATGGTTGTTTGAGTCATCGAACGCAATCTTCTCTGGGTCGAGGGTTTTTGTGTTGGCAACATGGGTGTTGGCGGTATTTAAGCGTCGTCTTCTCATTACCTGGTGAGGTTTGTTTAGAAGCATGAGCATCAAGGACATCGGTCAGCTTCTTTGGGACAAACTTGATTAGAAGCATAGGTGCGGCAGGCATCTGAAGTCATTGGCACGGTTTGTTTATGCGAAGCATGGGTGTCACAGACTTCTGTGTTGATCTTCTCAATCCCAACCCGCGATGTGGAGTTGGCACGGTGCTTCAAAGCCTGTGGAGGTCCTACCGGAGGTAGTGTGCGTACGAAGCATCCGCTTTATTCCGCACATCTCGGAAGCCTCTCCAGCCAGGATTTCAGGGCTTCTCCATTTGAAATCACCGGCTGTGGTAAAGTGCAGGGACTTGTTGTCCCTTGTGTTGTTTTGAGAGCTCGTCCTTGATCTGCTGTGCGATGTGGCTTGAGCTCGAACATCGGTTTTTGTAAAGCAGTATTTGCAGTCTCCAATTGTTGGTGGCGCATGGTCAGCTTCAGCTTCAACCTAAAGGCTGTGTAGCTACACTGCCATTAGCTGCCAGCATGCAAAGCTGGGGCTTGAGCCTCTTGCGCTTAAGGAAGACGGTCCACCAAAGGAAGCTCGAAGCAGCACGCGAGCTTTATGGCCTCTCCCCCTCCGATGACGTGCCCGAGGATGCGCTGAACAAGACGCCAAGACTGAATGGGAGTGCCGTTGTACTTCGAACTAGTTTACACTAGTTTATACCTGTTTGCTGCCATGGAAGTGGCATTCCGAAGCCAAGCATCGCTTCAAAGCACTGGCGGCTTGAGGCCATACGTTAAGCCTATACTGCCATCGGGGCATGCAGGTGTTGTGCCCTTACTGTTTTTTGAGACTGAAGGAAGGCCATCATGGAGGCAGGCAAGAATGCGCGCGGGCGCTTGAGTGCCGAGGACGCGTGCCATAGGACACTCATAGAACCAGGCACCATCAGCTTCTTTCGAGAATGAAGTTAAAAGTCGCTGAGATTTGCGAGGTTCACATGTCAGCACATGTCGGCACATGTCAGTACATGTCGCATTGTTCGGACAGTTCGAGCTCTGTTTAACAGGACTATGGTCTCGGCCTTGGGGAAGAGGCCGTCGCCTGGCAGCCTGTGACTGCAAGGCAGAACAAGAGAACGAACGAAACAAGTCGAAACAAGAGCAGCCGAGGGCTGGAACAGAAGCTTCTGCACGCCATTCCCAATGCACATCAATACATACCCGCAGAATGCAATTGCAGGTGAAGGTTAAAACTCC